ATTAAGTTTATATAGGGGAGGTGGCTTATCACATTGAGAATACATTTCAAGCATTGGGGCAGGCATTGTATCTCTTGAAAGAACTTGTTGATCGAATACAATAGCACTTTTAAAAGCTTTTCTCATATGAATGTCTTGTAAAGATACTAAAACAACAATATTTATTATTTAAATGAATAATATWATATGGTACATGAAATGCAATAATAAATTTAAATTAAATAAAGTATATGTAAATTACCTTCTTCGCCAGTACTATCTAATTGTTTTGAGTTGACAGATAATCTGTCTAACCTAATTTGTAATGAGTTAACTCGTACAGTAAGTGAATGGGCCTCACGTACAAGTTCGCCAAACATATCTTCTGCTTGTTTGGATAGACTAGATAACTGACGAACTGTATTAGCAAGGGTGCCATTAGTGACAGCTTCTAATTCATTAGATATTGAACTTGAAGCACCATAACTTCCTGCTTGTGAGACTGTGTTACGTGCAACATGCACGGGTTCTACGACACGCTTTGGCAATGGCATAGTTTATGTATGCTGAAAAATAAAGACAATAAAATTACAAACATTTTTACTATTTTTTTAATACAAATATAAAAAAAAAGGTTTTAATCAAAAGTTTGATATGTTACAAGGAGCTTGTAGAAAATTTTTAAAACACATTATCTATTTATGTAATAATGAATATGAATACCTACCTACATGTATAAATTGTATAATTGTATTGCAAATTACAAATAAATGTCTAAGCAATTAGTACCTACATATTATATGAACAAATAATTATGGTTTCACTCAATTTAACTAATAAGTTACCCAAAATGTAATGTCTAAAAGTTTCAATTTATTAACTGTAAAATAAATATTTAAAAACTGATTTAAATATAAAGTAAGTATTATGGATATATTTTATTTTGTTGGGTTATACTTCTGCTGTCTTCTTGCCAAAAATTTATATTTCATGCTCCCCATGTTTTAATCAATTACAATTAGATAAGTACTATATCATTGCTTGTTATTATGACATCGCCCAACTAGAGATGAGGGTCAATTTAAACATTAATTTGTTACATTGATACACATAGAATAGGGGGCATGTTGAAATACATTTATTATGTTTAAATTCACATAAATTACATTTTAAAATACATATAATACAATATTCTATATTCTATTTAGCATTTCCTACCTTATTAATTATTATTATATTCATAGTGAAGATGGATAAATGTAATTGTTTTTTTTTTGATATTAATAATTAATAAATTATATTAGAATTTAGTTTTCCATATAATAGTTTATTTGTTTTTATAAATAATTTATTTGAATACATATACATTATCATGAATATTTCTATAAGATTATGAGAGAAAAATTCTCTGAACATATTTCTCTGCTGCTTTATTTTAGCACTATTAGTGCTCCTTCTAGCCTACAAAAAAAAAAAACTGTATAACACTTATCTGTACATGGTAAAAATATATTATTTATAATTTCCACATAATATACGACTTTCACAATAAAGATATATKAGTATATATGAGTTAAATCTATGCACATATAATAATATATCAATTTAAGAAAGTTGAATTTTATAAATGAGTATTTTTTTAATCATATCTCTAGTTTTGGCAATTTTTATACTAATAATTTTAGCTAAATCTATTAATCTAAAAAAAAAAAAATGAGAAAATAAATAGAGGTAGTATTCATGGTCTTAATTTTAATATTTTTTTGCCATTAATGCGTACATAAAATACCTATAAATTTATATTTGTTCAACAAATCTACCTTGCAATGTGATTGGTACTACAGTACACATTGATTATTATAAAAAAAATTATAATTAGATTTGATTTAATGTATAGTTATTTTTTTAAATACATATCAGTATTATAAACATATTTAATATTATTATCTCATTACATTATTACAGTACCTAATAAAAATATCTTAAAATTTGAAAATAATTAATTATACATAATACAGAAACACAGAACAACAATAAATACAAAAAACATAGGTATCTTATTATATATTAGCTTGATGTGGTTGGGGGGGGGGCAATGATACTGATAAGAAAGTTATTGACTACAATTCAAATTAATCTTATAAAATTTAAAAATATTAATAATCAATTAAATAAAAAGTATATATTATAGGTAGGTGCCCTAGGTCGCCATAATTTAAGTAACTTTTATATTCATAATACTTATATTAAACAGAGGCTATGCATTAAAAAGCTTGATTTATATTAACAATTATTTATTATGAACTATAATAATTAATAATTTTAGTTCATWATAGATAGCTAAAGTAGCAATTAAGCAAAAAAATACAGTTACTTATCAAAACTTTACAACATGGAGCTGCTACTGAGAAGAAGATGGGGCTACTAAGAAATGACCTTATTTAATAATGTAACATTGCAACCTATACAAACGATAAGCCTAAAAATATTCACCCATATTAATTTACTTTAAAAACTGATGATTAATAACTGATATTCCTTAACAATATTGAATCAAAATAAGGTGTGGAGGTAATAGGTATTACCYATGTTATTCTCTACTTAACTATAAAAAAACTGTTTAATTTTCCAAATAACTCAAACCTAATTGTTCATATAATAACTACTGTCCATTAGATACAATAGAATAATTACTATGAGAAACATATTGTTGATAAAAAGTAAAACTCAGATAAATTTATTCTATTTAGTATTATTTAGTCATAATGCATATCAGTTACATATTTTTACTGATAAGCATGACACACAGTAGATATCTAAGTATCTATGTTATGTTAAAAAATAAAATAAGATCATACATCTATACCYAACATTTCTGAGTTATTGTCAAATAATACAAATAAATAAGATGTCTGTAAAGAAATTAAATCGTAGATTAATTATAACCAATAAAACTGAAATTGCTGTCAATCAGAAATGTTTATAACGGGCGTTTCCCGTGATATAATTAGTAATTACAAAAGTTGTGCTACATAGACCTCTAAATGACAGCTTATGTTATAGGTTACTGAGAAACTCCTAACAAATTGCTGAAAACATCAATTTTACAGCTGATGACATCAGATTATGGTGACCATAGCATTGATAAAATATATAAACATCCAGTGAAAAAATTCTAACAAAATAGGTAGGTCAACTACCTAGTTAGCACCTCGACAATGTAGAATAAARACAGATGACAAACAAATTAAATCGGACACCTACATACACAACAGCTCGGTACATARTGTCTGGTCCATGTACATGACATGTTAAAATCCATATTCGGACAGCATATAATTATGATGCTGTATACTTAAGACAGTAACACAGCTATCATCGATCAGATTCTATGGACAATACATAATTTACTACATACCTATACAAACATACCAACCTATTAATGTTTATCAATATCAAATTTTATATCCTGCCTATATCATACTTCCTTACCAACGAAAATACGGTAAGTTATGAGGAACAAAAATTATAATAGAATATTAACACCAACAACGCAATTGCTCAATGCGACTTGTTGTCAGTGGTTCGTCCACTCACCTCGGCGATCATTTAGCAGCGATCCGGCCGATCCGATTCGGGTGACGCCAATTGATCGGTGTACTGACGTCCGTCACCGTGGGAACATCGCCATGTCGACAGGTCGGACGCATCAGACGTCGATGGGACGGTACGAACGAAAACGAAACAGGCGGCGAAATTCGTGGCGCGCGATAGATAAACAACACGGTGGCTCAAGGACTGGCGTGTCGAGGCGGAGAAAACGTTCGATAGTCGATACCATCGATTATCAGTCGCGCTGGTGTAGTACGCGAGCGACGGGATCGTAGTACCAACAAATGGCGTACGGTATAAAATATTATATTATATCGTCGCCCTACTCGCGGTCCATGGAGGAAAAAATGCGCACGAACATATTTGGATAATATAATATATAATCAAGGATCTCGACACCTACAACATTTTTATACATATTATGATGATACGAGTGTTTATTTTTAAATACATTTAAATTCGTGCTATTGACCAATGTCCAATAGTTATAAGCAATAAGCATTAAGCACCGTTTCATGAAGGCAAAAGACTGGAATAGGTCTTTACAGTATTATTAGTATTTCGATATTATTTATCACTTATAGCAGTTAAAATTTAAATAAAACAATTAAAGTATATTGCTTAAAGTCTATACTCTGAAAGTCTGTATCAACTATCAAGCGCGCGTGTGTACCGCCAAAGTCTATATCGATATATCTAATTTACAAATATTATAATAGTAAATAGTATAATTTGATATCATTWTAATATGAAAATATGTGTTATCTCGTGATATTAATACAGGAAATATAAGTATATAAGATGTAATTAAATGGAATCTATTAAAATGTATTACCACATTTAACTATAAACATGTTTACTAACAACCCATTAACTGTTTATTCATTCGTTATTTAATTTTCAAACTTAATTAAATAAAGAAATAGTTCTATACTCCTATGATATAATGAATTTATAATACGTATGTAATTTACATATTTATAATTTTCTTCTATGATAGACATAATTTGTATGATCAAATAATGAAAAAATTGATTCATTTTATTTCAAGTTAATGCRCTATTGAGTATAATAGCACATATACCGATAAAGTATCAGTTCAGTAATAAGAATCCTACTACACATTCAAATACGACTGGTCTGAAAGTGGTAGATGGTAATTTTCTTAAATATATATAGGACACTTGTTGAGTTTAAGYGATTCAATTTGAAAATCATAGCTCTTTTTAATATACATTTTTGAATAAAAATATAATTTGAATTCCGAGTACTATTTAGTTTTGTTTGTAATAATAATTAAGTACACTAACATAACATTCATATTATTAATTAGTAAAAAAAACTCTTCATAAGTTAACATACATTACAAATTCATGAATGGGGACTACTTTAAATTTAAAAAATAAACATAAATAATATAATTTTATATATATATTTTTAATTATTAGAAYTTAATCTATTAAATATTTATTTTAAACACAATTTGACAAAATAGTTACATATACAAGTTGGCTGTTGTATATTATATCAATGATAAATAAAAATACATTATGATGTAGTAGAAGGAGGAGACACAAGTATAACCCCATCCCCTCTAACAAACAACATAGGTATAGTACGTTTAGTAGTTTTATATACTTCTTCAAATGTTTCTTCATCTACTTCAATTGTAGTAATAGTTTCTTCAGCTTCTCCTAATACCATGTTTAAATGTTGATCAAAAGCCTAAAAAATTAACATATTTATTTTATTCAAAAATATATATATTGAATAATTAATATTTAATTGATAGTTAACTGGGATAAATTAAAGATAAACACCAAGCCAAAAATTGTATACAAGTGTTGGTAAAATTGAATCATTATTATAGATTTTCTCGGTCTATATGATGATAACTGAATTATTTAAAGTTATATTTTAGGCTATGGTTACTTGATCTTTTTCACAATAAAATCTACAATATTAATAATATTTACATGAAGTCGACCACGTAATTCTCGGTCGTGGCGCATCTTAACATAGATTCGTTCATCAACACTAAGGCGAATTAAATCAACTGGCTCTTTGATTGTCACAAGTGAAACTGGCTGAAATAAGTAAAATCATTAAATTAAGTGTTTACTGCTTATTAAAAAAAATGTAAATAGAAATTATTGACCAGTTAACATTATTTTACCTCTGATTCTCCTTCTGGCATTTTAGTTACCATAAATAAAACTTTCTCAAAATTACTTCTTAAATTATCAGACGTTAGCTCAGTCTTAAATTATAAGTAACAGTAAATAAGAAACAAACAAATGAATGACTTACAATTTACAAATAGTTTTTAATTTTACTGGTGATTGACGATTGTTATTAAAAACTGAACATAAATGATAAATTTACAGAAAACAACATAACCTCAATGATTTTGTTGTAGCTTAATAAATAAGTRCTAGAGTGCGCTGTATGTTATTTTAACAGTATTTAAATAAGGGCTCAGCCAACAGTCACAGTAGTCACACTGCAGTATTTTCGCTGTCGACGTYAAATCCGAACGGTTTAACTGCCGCCCACCATGGGGCATGGATTTTACATTTTTACGTTACTGTGATCGAAATTGCAAACAATTGGATTTGGATTGTTTAAAAAAACTCAAATTGCACCGCTGTATCTTTATAGTTTTCACTTTTCATTCAGAAACGGAGATGAACTTAAGAGTTAWAGCTTATAGGTCTTAGTTTTTTTTWAAAATATTTTTGATTTTATCTGTAATAATAAAATTATTAAATAAGCTTTAGATAAAATAAGAAATATATAGATATTACAACCGTACCTGTGTAAAAACAAAAAAAATCGATGAATGTAGGGAATATGTGGTAGAGATGAAAACTTCCATATCATGAAGTAGTTGCTATACAATTGACAGCACTTGAAAGGCGCTAATTCTTCCAAAGATTCACTAATTCTCGCGGAGACCTTGTTTTAAATTAGTAAGACGGAGACTACACATGTGTCGTGTATGTTACGTAATTCATTATAATATTAATTAAGTTATTATATCATTATGTAATGGTTTATAATCATCGGTATCGACGCACTTGCGCGATTACCGACTTGTGCACAACTGCACAATAAACAGTCTTAACTCTTAATTAGAACGCTCTCGCTCGCCGACGTTTTGTTGTTCCTCGTCCATGTTCTGCCGCGTAAGTGCAAACATGATGACATGCATGCGAGTAGCAAATCTGAATTGTTTCTGATTTCTWATACGAGRCGTTGAGTGTTGARACAACATTGYACGGAACGCTCAAAATAAAATWTGAATATCATATATTATCTTAATATCTACCCTTTACTATTTTGTACCACTAAACCACTTGAAKTCCTGATTAAAGTCAATAAGTACAATAGTATTAATAATAAGTAAAAGAAAATTGTATTCATTTGTGGAGCTATTAACTATAACTAACTGAAATTAAACTATAGTAACAAATATGACTATAGTCAAATAGTACCAACCACCAAATTACATCAATTTTGATAAAAAAAAAAAAATCATGAGCATGAATTAATTACGTATAACATTGAAAACGTTGATTTAGGGACTGTAAGTTTATTTACTTGGTGGGTGATTTTAAATATACATTTAAATATAACGGGAACGGCATAAGTAGGTTTTTTAGAGTTGGAACCCTTTAGCTAGGAACTGCTTTTTAGCAGGCCTAGATATATCCAAACTCCAAAGTCAAAAATAAAAAAATTAAAATGAATAAAATTTCTGATTTGATTATAATAATTATAATATATAAAAACAATTATAATGAATAAAAAATCGATATTTTGGATTAAAA